TATTGAATTTCATCATTTGCATCCGTTTCCATTCATAATTTCATCAAAAACTTCAGATTTACGCTTTTAGCCTAACCTCGGCGTATTCAACAACCATTAAGAAACTTATTAAATTCTTCCGATTTTCAAATAAATAATGTCTCTCCTGTAACAAACAAGATCAACAATAACTCCGTTCCGATAAAAATCAAATCAAACTTCCAAAGTCAACGTCCCTTTTAACTTAAACCACAAATTCCTTAGACCACATTGTGAGAACAAAGACGGCGACGGCCCTTCATACTCCTTACAACTTTACAAGTTAATTGCGTGATTTCAACCATAACTTATTATCACAGAATATTCCTGGGCCCATAACCTGTTGAAATATGTGCCAGGTTTGGGATGTTTGCCTATTGAAACACAGCAATTCGGTTCACGAAACTTCACGAATTTATTGTGCGTTCACACACTCGTACAGAGACACACACACGCAGCAGATTACTCCGCGCACCGCAGGAGGTACTACATTATGAGAAATACTTCGCTACACTTTACACTTCTTGATGTTTCTAGTCTGTTCGGTTCTGTATGAGAAATTGCCTCATTCCAACAGATGAAAAGAATCCATAAATAGATGTATTTTGTGCAATAAATAATCCATATATTTAGTGCTAACAGATTTTGAACTGATATTGGGTTCAATGACACGATTCAGGTTTTGAGCGGTGGGTGACTTGGTAATTGCTTTTAATGGGACGATTCCTTTCACTTCACCAAAGCTTGTGTCCGACAACTGGAACCAAGTATTGGTAATGATTTAAAAGCTGGCTTTCTGAATGTAAGCCCAATGTTAATACTATACTGTATTATTTTACTGTAAAGATAAAATATCACGAGGCGTGAATAAGGTAAATTAAGTTGGCGTATTGAGCAACAAGTGGCCTCTGCATTTGACTTCATGAGACGATTCACTGAATTTGACAAAACTTGTTCTCCGTCGAATGCTTCAGATCAGCCTGCTCTAAACTGAGTCACTTAATAAAAACTATGATTACATATTCCAGTCTATATTGTTTAATTCACTGGTTTTAAATGAAAGAATGACAAAAGGCTTCTCAAATATAACTAATAAATTTGTGAATTCATTAGTTTGAAGAAAAAGATGTATCGAATAGTGAGTCAAGCAGACGAGTAGCTAATTAAGCGATTCAATGCTGGCAATGGAATGTTACTCGACTGAAGGAATCGCATTGGTGTGGCATCAGGGTATTGGTGACGACAAAGGGTGATCCATGAATACCTACCCAGACCCATTCTTTACCCATTATTGATCAATTTGATATCAATATTTTTCAATCGAATCTCATATTGATTCTTGGATGTTTTGGAGTGCTGATTATGAAAACCACTTCCATTTCTACTCCAGACTTATATTTTCATCTCAAATTAGGTCATTCCGGACCAAAATTTTCAGGTCGAGTTTTATATTGTTTCCTGCAGTGTTTGATGAGCTGAACTCAAAAATAACTTCAAAATTTTTCCCAGACTCACGCTTTACCAAATTTTGACCAAATTTGTACCAAAATTTTTGTTCTGAGTTTGATGTTGATCCCAACAGTTTTTTGTGTGCTGATAACGAAAATCACCTCGACTCCAGACTTATATTTTAATCCCAAATTTTGGTCATTTTGGACCAAAATTTTCAAATCGAGTTTCATATTGTTTCCTGCAGTTTTTGGTGCGCTGAACTCAAAAATGACTCCCAAATTTTTCCCAGACTCACGCATTACCGAATTTTAACCAATTAAGGACCAAAATTTGGAATCGAGTTTGACGTTGATTCCAACAGTTTTTTGTGTGTGCTGATAACGAAAATCACCTCCATTTATACCCCAGACCTACATTTCACTCAATATGACCACAAGCTGCACATTTCGTCTACATAAAGCAAAGTCCGAAATGCACAAATTCGCATCGCTCAGCCCACACTACGCGCCACCTAAACGGCGCGTACCCCTAGTGTTTAGAATCCAAAACTGACCTCGTTTGATCAATTTGATGAAAATTTGACAAGTTCTGTCGATTTTAGTACCGCCGTGCAGAGCGGTCCGCCGCGCGCGGCCCGTCGGCAGCGGTGGGGCGCGGGCTCACGCTCACGAGCTCCCTAGGCCGTTTCCGACCCTGCACATACCGTGCCAATGTTGAAGTGGCGGGAAAATGGTTCAGTCGGGTAGAGGGGGCAAGAAACCGGAAGAGCGAGGAAGAGGGGTAGTGAGGAGTATCGCCGCGTCCTAGCCGTCACTACTCCTTGTATCAGGGACTTAACAAGCGTGCTGAAGTGAATGACATTTCGCGTATTACGCCCTTATTACGCGTTATTACGCGTTATTACGGCCATTACGCGCTATTACGCGTTATTACGCGTTATTACGGCCATTACGCGCTATTACGCGTTATTACGCGTTATTGCGCCAGACATGTACAGTCTATTACGCGAGTAAATACCCCCTCGCTTTCGGGCTCCACCACGGTGGGCTCCACGTCGCACCAGGTCGCCACCCGGTGTAGACAGGTGCAGAGAGTCTCTCTACACCGAGGGTCGGCAACTCATATGGTACTTCGTACGCGGCGGCTATATTACCCGTATAGTACCTGTATATTACCATATATACTTGCAATTACCCACATTTCGCCTCTATAATACCCCTATATTTCTATATATTACTTTGTATTACATATATATTACCTGTAGTACTGGTAATTTACGTATACTCCCTCGTACAGTTCCACCAAATTTTACCGCATAAATGGGTGTTTCTATTTGCATAAAGTGCCCATCCCTACCCGCAAGCCGGTTGGCCTGGCCGGCCGATCCGCCCTTTTCGGGCCTTCATTTAGGACGGCCCCGTGGCCCCACGTGCCCCAAATTTCATGATCGGTAGTAGAGTGACCTAGTTTGAAAGCCAGAGCGTGCAAGTGTCACCGACACTCCTGCTCCTCGCAATAAGTCTCCGAAAAGAGCTCATCGCGCTGTCGCCGCGCCGGCCGGACCAGCCCGCGCCGCTCCGGGCCATGCTCTCTCAGCACAAATCGACCAAAAATCGAGATCTAGAGGTCCTAGCGAAAATCGGCAACCAGGGGGTTGTTCCTGATACCCACTTGACAGATTGACCCGAAGAGGCAAGGTTTGGGGGCTGAATCTTGAGTCATAAGGTTTTGAACACCGCTGTGGTAAATTTCCGGAAATTTTGACTTTGAGAGCTTATAAATTCCGTGTCAAGATTGATATTGTCGGTTTATCAACGTGAGCGGCTCTATGGACCCTCCCTAAGCGACGCTAGAAGTTTGGTTCGAAAATTCCAATTCTAAATGCCATTTTGATCGAAATTAAACCTGGACAGCGCGAAAACTGCCGATGTGGCGGCGGGTGCCTACCCGGAATCCCCGTAAGGCGCCATGTTAATTCAAAACCGTTATAACTTTTTTCCTAAGGGACGGATCAAATGCCTCTGCGGGTCAAAACCTTTTTTGGCCCCAACTATCGATGTGCAAAGCGGCATCATAGTACATGATTTGCAGTATTCGTCCAATTCGCTGACGTTCACCAGGCACTATACACCGTGTGGCCACCGAGGAAGCTCTAAGCTGCGGGCCGGGCCGGGGGTGCGGAAAAGTCCCTAACCCTTATTTAGCGAGCGCGCGCGGCTAGCGCCAAGCCGTAGAGCCACTGGTCGCCACAGATTCCCCGAATTCGCCACTCTGAAGCCACTCGGAGGCCGAAGCGCCACTCGGGTCGGCCACCCCCCCACTGGGGCCCACTTCGCGGCCCGGCCCGCAGCTTAGAGCTTCCTCGGTGGCCACAACGGTGTAGAGCCAGCAAAAATTTCCCCCGGGGCTGGATCGCGGCCGAGTCGGGCAACCCTGCCTTCCTGCCGACCGCACGCACGTCCACGATGTGGCGGCACCGGCACGCGCAGCAGCAGCGCGCGCCCGCTACGTCACGCCACTGCAGCCGTAAGCACGCTGCGTCTGCGTTTCAGCGATCTGCGTCAGTCTCTGCCTTGCGCCCTGCGCTGAAAGGGTCTAATGCTGTGTGGAGTGGATGCCGCTCGATCCGTGAGTTTCTCTTTCCGCCTTGGCGACCCCCCCGGGAGCACCCTGACTGACTTCGCCCAGTGTGCGGGCCTGCCGGACCAGCAGAGAAGTGGTGACCATGGATTGCAGCGACGTCAATTTAGAGGTAGCGACATCATTGTCAAATTTCAATAAAATTTCAGTCAAATTTTCGATAAATTTTATTCAAATTTCGATGAAAAACAGTAAAATTTTCGATAAATTTTAGTCGAATTTCGATGAATTTTAGTCGAATTTCGATAAATTTTTATAAATTTTAAACATTTTGATGAATTTTGGTGTACAAATTTAGCTGGAGTTATTTCTCCTTGTATCCCATCTGTAGGTGTGAACTCAGCCAAGTTGCTTTTGTAGATGTGTACTCAGCTGAGTAATTACATCTGTAGATGCGTTCTTAGCCAATGCATCTGTGCAAGTGTGCATCTGTAAACACCTACTGAGTACACACTTAAGTTTGTAGAGTATATTCGTATTGTTCCCCCAGCATTTCCTCTTTCCAAGGCATCGGCATCGCTGGCTGCGGAGTGCTGCAGTTGCGGCCTGCAGTGGGACCAAGACCGTCGTCCCGCTGGCCGTTTAACTGCGGCCACTCGCCGTGCCACCCCTGCGGGACGCGTGCTCATCGGGCCCAGAGAGGCGCTGCCCCGCGTGCTCCAAGGTAAAGCATTACACATATTTTGCACCAAATACGGGGGGAAAATCGTTTCGAGGGGTCCCATTCAAAAGATCTTTTCCAACGCAATCGAATTTCACGAAGTTAGACCATTTGGGACGGATAAGAAGGTATGCGGATTGTACCCGCACTAATTGGTTTTTTTTATTTTTTCATCTTCAAGATTGTGTGATTGAAACAAATTTTTTTGGGTTTTGTAGCTGTTTCAAATGATCAAACTTGGTCACATTCGCTTGCGTTGCAGATAAGGTTCTTTGAATAGGAGCGCCCAGTTAAGCAAATTGTAAAGTGAAAAAAGTGGCTTTTTGTCTTTTTTTAAATACTTGCGCCAGAAGTCTCAATTGAGGGGTAAAAATTCCTCTCTATCACATAAACTCATACACTAAGATGAGGGCCGCAAACCCCTATCAGTTTCTGGGTTATGGGGGGTTTACAATAACTTTTAGTCGTTTGTACCAAAGTCTCATCACGACAATGGATTAGCTACCCAGTCTTCAGATTCTAGCAATTTTATCTATTTTTGAATAGGGAAGAGAGAGCGTTGCCAGTATTTTAATATCTGCCTTAGTTTTCCTGTAAAACCAAAAACAAGACCAAAATGGGGCAAGATCTCTCAACTTTGAAGGAAAAAAAAAGGCCTGATAAAATAGCTCTTACTGCCTCTTCTCGGCTGATATCTTCAAATGTGCCAACGCGATCTTTTTCTATGCAAGAATAGATAAAATTGCCAGAACCCCGAAGAATGGGTAGCTAGTCCTTTGTTGTGAGGAGAATTTGGGAGAAACGACCAAAAGTTTACGTAAACCTCCATAACTCAGAGAGGAGTTGGGGCCCCCAACTTTGGGAATAAATTCACCTTATAGTGGGAAATTTTTACCACAAAATGATCTTGTGACAAATATATCTAGGACATGCTAGTTTCATTTTACAGTATCCGTAAGATCTTTTGAATAGGACCCCTCCGTTTAAGTTTTGTTTCACTGTTATTCAACATATGTGAATGTGACATCTTATTCGCTAGAATGAAAATTTGTGACGTTCGTTTGAATATGATGCCACAGTTGTTTGAAAGTTGACCCACGTTTGAACGAAAGTGACATGTTAATTACACTCTCGTTCCAGGAAAGTGACGTCACGTTGAAACGAATGTGATAAGATGTCACGTTCCTTTGAGCATTGTGTCACGTCACATTCGTTTGAATGTAAATAAGCTAGGCTGGATTCACCTTCAAACGAATGTGTGACAATGCTCAATGGAACGGACGTCTTGTCACGTTCCTGGAATGAGTGTTAACGGCCGTGTCACGTTTCAACGAATGTGACATCGTATTCAAACAAACGTGACGAAGCACATATTCCAACGAATATGACGTCATTCGTTGAAGTACAGGGATCATTTTGCGGTGTTGTTCATTGCCCTTAGTCTCGCCTGTAATTGAAAAATACCGCGGTCAGTGGCATTTTGTACTAACATTGTAGTTTTGTTTCATTATCTTTTTCAGAAGTCAAAGCAAGTGGTCGAACAGGAGGAACATGATACAAGGTACGATCCGGCTGACGGAAGACATACTCGCGTTGGGTTTCGCACCGTGTGTGCTGTACTTATTCGAGGGCTGGATCTTTTTATATGATATCCATGGAGATGAATGTGAAGAGAATGCCAATGCTTTCAAGGGCGCAAGAGGTAAACGAACCTGTGCTCGTCCTTTGCAGCATCTGGTGCTTGGACTGCGAGGCGCCGACCACCGACGTGTGCCTGAGAGAGCACTCGTACGGCAACGCGCAGCGCTTGGCCCGCGACGCAGCCCAGAGCGTGGCCGCCTCGCACGACGGTGTGGCCGCGGAGCTGCAGAACGCCCAGGAGGCCCTGCAGACCCTCAGGTAGTACACTGTGAAAATTTGAGTCGTCACTTGATGACAATTTCAAGGCTAATTTTACAACTACAACTATTACAACTATGTCATGAAAAAATTGATGACATTATTGTGGTCACGCCCATGCAATAAGTCATCAAATTGTGATGAGATTGTCATGATTTGAATTTAATGAAAATGTCATCCACGTTCTTGTCGTAAAAAGACAACAAATTTTCACAGTGTAGGTTTGGCCAAAGTAGAGGGCTTCACTGTCAAAAAGAAAAACAACGACGTCCCGCCAATTTTTACACAGCCTTTACTGCAGTTTTAGGTGCAGTTGTCACTCACTGTTAAAAATAGTTGTTTTAAAACAACAACACAGTTACCAACCTCGACAACGCTGTTGTTTGTGAACAAGTTTGCTTGTTTTGAAACGACGAATTCGTTGCTAATTATTTTTATGACTTATGCTGTTTCAAAACAATATTTTGCTGCGTACAAACAACCCGGACAATCTAAGAAGTGGTTACTGCGGGGTAACCGGGACTCTACTAGGTCTATGACCTAATCGGCAATAAAAATTGATGCAAATAAGGCTGTCTATCGGTTTACAAACATCTTGTGGACTAACGACGCAACTCGTTAGTAAACAACAAAAGTCATTTGAAAACAACTTTGATCGCTAAGAAAATTAGCAACATATTTACTGCTAAATTACAACATAATTTTTAACAGTGCTGTTCTTTCTTGACTGTCCATCCCCTTAACCAAAATTGTTGGGAGAACCAGTTTTAGGAATGGATTTGTCTCGACGAGACAAACCAAAAAAAAAATGTCAACATTTGTAGGTTTGGACTGCTCGTCAATACAAGGCTGGTAAATCTGACGCATGCTTCATTCAAGCACACAACTACGCTTGACATCAAGCTTAGAGAAGAAATTCTCCAATGCATTTAGATAGGCGGGACAGAGAGGCGAAATGGAGAACGATTTAAGCCTTACGTAGTTGTACTACGCCTGAAGAAAGGCGTAAAAGTACCGAGGGGGTAAACACTCGGGGTTTTCGTGTACAGACTACTCCCTATTACGCGTATTACGGGTATTACGGATGTATTACGCGTATTACAGGTGTATTACGGGTATTACCTATGTATTACGGGTTTTACATGTGCATTACGGGTATTACAAGTGTATTGCGGGTATTACTAGTGTATTACGGGTGTATTACGGTGCTCATGGAATATCAACGGAATAGTTTCTATGTAAAACAAGAAGGAAAGACATCAAAGAATTGATATCACATGGGAGGGACTCGTTCTTTACAAAGCTAGATTGATGTGTCAGTCGCTGATCGTTACATGAATTGTCCTCAGACGATTTGTGCCAACGACAACTGATCTCAATGCTATTTCCTTCCAAATGATAAAGAAACTACCCACTTAGCTTAAAGGTGTTCAACCTGTTGAATCTGAAACCTTCTATGCACGTTTTTATCTATGAACTTTGAAAATACTATTTTTTGGAATTTTGGCGATTTTTTCACCAGGGTCCCCCCTTAAAACCTTACGAAGTATTTTAGGCATGCATAAGTACAAACTAATTTACTTTGTTGTACGAAGAAATAGTTCGTAAATTTCAAAGTATTTTCTTTGAAAGCTTATGTATGCTCGAAATGCTTTGTTATAACAAACCGCTATGCTTTGTATGGCCTGAAATAGTCTGTAAGGTTTTCTCAGTGTGGAAATCTCATCGGCACTGATGGAAATTTTGTCGTCACTTATCGACTTATCCATTGTTCACCTTCACTTCACGCACAGTCTCTTCTCACTAAGACTAACCCCTTGGGAAGAACAGGCCACTCAAACCCTACTAACACCCTTCTCACACTCACACTAATGATACCACATGAACTGGTATCATTACTTTCAAATTATTCGTTGCCGCAGAGTAACAGCCCGCTGGAGTCGCTGCCCGCCGAGCTGCTCCACGCGGTGCTGGCGTACGTGCCGACCGAGCAGCTGCTGTCGCTGCGCCTGCTGAACCGCCGCTGGAGCAAGCTTATGCTGGAGGCGCCGTTGTGGCGCCGCCGCCGCTTTACTTGTGGAGACACTGGCTTTGCGAATCACCGCCCTACCCGGGCATCTTGCGCCTGGCCCCCGCCTTGGACACTGTGGAGTTACAGATGATACGCTGCGAGAGAAGTGATATGGGGCTCGCTTGCCTCAAAGCTCTCGCTGAGGGGAACTGTCAGGTAATTGTAGTGTGACCAAGTTCCTTCATTTGTTTTCAAAGTTATTGTAAAGTAAAACAAGAAGGAAAGACATCAAAGAATTGATATCACATGGGAGGGACTCGTTCTTTACAAAGCTAGATTGATGTGTCAGTCGCTGATCGTTACATGAATTGTCCTCAGACGATTTGTAATTTTGCATTTCAACGAACGCTTCCGGTTGGTTCTCCTCTCAGGCAGGGAACATCGATGCATCGCGATATCTCGAGATATCGATTCTCGTGCATAATCGAATTTACACTAGAGTCCGTGAGTCCGTGCCAAAAACCTGCTTTTTCCATGACCAAAACCCTCAGAAGGACACATTTCTTAAAAAAAGAGAAGTCAAATGAAACTCATTATTTCGTCTCTCATCTCCAACATAAGACATGCAACACCTGCCAAGAAATTTTCATTAGGAAGAAACCGCTAGCAGTTCTGAGACATATATCACGATTAGCGTGAAACGATGTTTCTTTATGACCAAATTTCTCAAAATTATCCATTGTCACTTGGAAAATACCCTCCTAGTTTTTTGTTGGCCAAAGATCTCTGGTCGTTGTCGTTGTTGTTTGCGTTCCAGTGGTGTTCTATATCAAAAGATGCAAACACTTGAAAAGAGGTTAGTTTCACATAATGCACTAAAACCGTCTCTCTTTCATGTTCATTTTCTCAGTATTTCTCATTGCAAGCAAAAAAAAAGTTCATTCACGATCTAGCGACTGACACTCCATCTTTCATTTGATACCACTCTCATTTTCCCACATGCTGTCAGATCTGAGATGAAAGATGTCCCCCCAAAACTCATTTTTGAACACAATACTCGTTCTCTTCACATAGAGTTTTGTATGTTAGTGAGTGGTGTGTAAAGAACGAGTAAAAAAGTGGCTATTTGGCATTTTTTAAAATACTTGTGTCAGATGTCTCAATTTGTAGGCGAGAGTTCCTTTCTATTCCATAAACTCATACACTAAGACTGGGGCACCAAATCCAATTTTCTAGTTTCCTAGTTTGTGAGTTATGGAGGTTTACGTAAACTTTTAGTCAAATTCCCAAATGCCCAACTCCCAAATTCTCCGCGAAAGGATTAGCTACCCAGTCTCCAGGGGACCTTTGCATAGAAAAAAGATAGTGTTGCCCTTTTCTCAAAATATCTGCCTTAGTTTTCCTGAAAAACCGAAAACAAGACCAAGTTGGGGCAACATCTCTCAAATTTGAAAAAAAAATTTAAAAAAAAAGGGCCGGTAAAATGGATTTTACAGCATCTTCTATACCGATTCAAATCTGCCAACGCTACCTTTTTCCTATGCAAAATTTAGATGTAGTTGCCAGAATCTGAAGACTGGGCACGAAATCCTTTGTCGTAAGTCTCAGAAACTAATAGAAGTTGGGGCTTTGGCAATAAACTCATCAAAAAGTGGTTGAATTTTGACTTCAAAATTAACTTCCTGCGAACACTGGTATTAAAATGCAAAGGCATTAAAATTGTGCCCTTTAAGGGCGTAAACGATTTACGGCCCCTGGAGCGGCGTGAATCGTTGACGCCTTTTGGAAGGGCATTAAAATTTTGCTTAAAATTCACCGTTCACGCCCTTCCCAAGGGCACAAAACGATTTACGCCCTTACAGAGAGTATTTATGGCTTAAAGGGCGTAATTTTTATGCCTTTGTTTTACGAGTGAAATATTTCTAGGACATGCTAATTTCACTTTACAGTACCCTTAAAGTGTCTATTTGATTCTAGTTGGGGGTTTGATCCCATAATCTCTGGATTCCCCCTCCCCTCAACTTTGTGTAATCATTTTGTGTTTGTTTCTACAGGTTCGCTGCCTGGACCTGGATTTTCTTGCTAGCACTGCGTCGAACAGGCTTTTGCAACGCGTTCTGCAAAACCGAGGCATACAAGAGCTTCGCATCACCTTGGGCGGGTTCCTGAAGAGCAGCAACCTGGTGCCAGCGTTGGAGGCCATTGACAACTTAGAGAGAATAGACACGCTAGGAGTTCGAATTCGTGGCGGCAAGTGTCTGGATTTTGTCTTCGAGAAAATCTGTATGACGAAACTGAAAATTCCGGACCATTATGATGTCGTCATGGTTCGAGACCTTCTCGACCTTGGGAGAAACACTCTACGCGAGGTCCACTTTCCGGAACACGACAGAAGGTTTGCTCGTTTTAAGGAGGAGTTGGAGCACTGCCGAGAAATCACCCATCTCACACTGTACTCGTGTGACGGCCTTGCAGATGTAGTCCCACTGCTGCCGAACTTAAAATCGATTACAATAAAAGATATCAATGCCTCACTGACAAATTGGCTCAAGTGGGCCCAAAAACAGTACTCAGGGAAGATCCACATCGACGTAAAGATCTACGGCGAACGCTCTTTGCAAGAGCTTGTGGACTTGGCAGACAACCTACGCAAGTTCAGAGTATCAGGCTACGGAGGCTTCGTGCGTATTACAGCCCGAGCGCCGTCTCACCAGCTCTTCTAGTGCAGTTCCTCAACTTGCTGCCGGCAGTGGAGAACCTCGTGCTGAACGTGGAGACGGACTTCGAAGCGGTGCTTCTCTCCTGGACAGCTTCAACGGTACCAAGACTTCAAACGCTCTCAATCTATGTAAAGAACTTGAAAGAAACCTGGTCCTCTCTGACAGAGAAATTTAGAACCCTGCGTCCCAGTCTTACGTTAAAGTTCCTTTAGGAACGACCATGCTCTCTGTTCCGTTTGCCCCTGGTACATTTTTTCTGTACAGCATGTTATCCTGACCTAGTTATTCGTAATTAAACGTATTCGCGACCGCTGTTGGTAGTGTTCGTTAAACGTTCGGTGAGCCGTCATATCCCTGTTCGCTTCAGTTATTTGCTTGGTCTTTATCTTAGCATGTTCTGTCGTGCTATGCTTCGCAGTGCAACAATCTACGCGGGCATCTGTTTTATACATTATACGACAAAATAAATCAGACATTTCTTAATACAACTTTGGCATATGATTCCCATTTTTTCTTGTTGTCCGAACACGACCATAGTCACAAAAGTAGGAAACAAAATAGATTTTAGTCCCAAGATTTTGGCCCCAAGCGTTGCTAAGTTGACGCGTTTCTTGGGGCTTTTTCTTTGAAGGCGAGCAAAGGGGTTCTCAAGTCACTTTTGTTAACGTAAGGAGAAGCTGAAGTCTTGCGCAGCGTCTGCCTTCCTCAGTTAAAAACAGATTGGACACCCACAAACTTACTATTTAAGTTAAAAACAAAGTTTCTATCATGACGCTTTGAAACAAAATCTGAGGGGAAAATTGAAGACACTATTTTTATTACTTTAATTTGTCTAAGTACGTGGTTCCATAATTTTTTCCAGACTTTGTGCTTTGCGCTGATAGCAGAGTGACTTACACTCGGATGCAACTTACCTCACGGAATATATTGAACTTAACACCTTGTCAAATTTCTTTCGTATTTTGGAGAAAATCTCCACCATAATGTGTTGGTGCAGCCCTCACTGTTAGAAAAACTGCTGTTGGTTTACGACAAATTTGTCGTGAAGTTTCATAGCAGAAGTTGCTGTCAAGTGAGAAAGATGTCGTAAGATAAAATGTCGTAGTCTGATGAAAGTGCTGTTCAACGATAAAATTTTCATAGACATTGGCTGAACTCATATCCTCTTCACAGTCATTGGATCCAAATCATCAATCAACGACATTGTCGATACATGATGACAATGTCGTTCAAAGATTGTTTGACTCATAGGATTACGATAAAATAATCTCATTTGCCACATTGTCCAATATTCTGGCAAAATGTCTCAAAACTCAGCTTATAAATCAATTAAATGCACAGCAGGGATGGAAGAAGATGCACAAAGCTGATGGTCTCCAACACTTGTCAATAAATGTCATTAGGAGTGGCTCGTGGTGATAGCAAATAGCCAAAGTGAGGTAACCACATTAAAAATCTGTTTTATGTCTCCCAAGTTAACCTTTGCGGCAGACTTATGAGCAAATACACAGCAGTTCATCATGAAAGGTTATCAAAATAGCGTCAAGTTTTCATGCTAATTAAGATGTGCCTTTCCCAGACTTTTTGCCGGAATATTTGACAATATGGCAAATGTGATTATTTCATCGTAATCCAACGAGTCAAACAATCTTTGAACGACTTTAGTCGCTTTGAGATGAAATTGTTGTTTGATAACGATACTTTTATTGTTTTGATTTTGAACATATTCTTTTGTAACCATACAATTTTGTATTCTTAAAACAAGTTTTTTTTTAATATGATGGTTGTTTTGTTTTGAATTTTGACAATTTTGTCATTTTATAACAATCATGCTGTTGAACTTTTTGTCGTTATCCCACAACTTTTTCTAACAGTGCTCCATCGCAGGGGCGCGTCCATTAATAAAGTAATTTTATAATAAAGTGGCTATTGTTTATTTCCCCAGCCGTAAATCCACCCCGCATCCATCCTATTTCATTCACATAGCGGTGCCTCGCTGCCTCGTAGAGACAACCTCATTCGGCCAGACGCGGTTCCAGGGAGGGCCCCCTCTCCTCCTGAACCCGTTCCTGGTCCGCCACTATCTCCGACTCATCTCGGTGATCCATAGGCAGCGAGTCGGCGGTCGATCTCCCCAACGGACGGCAGCCATCCCCACCGAATGACGTCCTCGACGACGCCTTCCAGGTGCGACTTGAGCTCCGGCGTCACGCGCACTCGGAACACCTTGCCCTCCGGGTTCGCGAAGAACTCTCGGACCTGCGGACGTTCAAAGCACACGCTGGTAAGACAATCGGCTGTTTTTGGACGAATGTTACGTCACATTCGTCACAATGTGAATTTGTCACGTTCGTTTGATGATGCGATGCGACAGTCGTTTAAACATCGTTTTCGAACGAGCGTGACGCATTTCTCATTCCAATGAATATGGCGTCATATTCTTTCAAGCAGTGCACGGTAAAAACGGTTCCTGGTTTTCCCAGGGAACTCCCTGGAAATAACCGATGTATTATTTACCATAGGCTTCCTCCTTAAAGCACCCACCGTACACTGTATTAAAATTTTTGGAAATTTCTGAGGAACAAATTGCGAAAGACATGCCACCCCCCGAAACTGACCTTCGGAACATTGCATAACCTCCAACTGGAAACATTAATGTTCCTGTCTTGAACGATTTCCCGGCACGTGTAGAACAAACAAGAAGCCAAGGAATATAAGTAAAAAAAACAAGAAGGAAAGACATCAAAGAATTGATATCACATGGGAGGGACTCGTTCTTTACAAAGCTAGATTGATGTGTCAGTCGCTGATCGTTACATGAATTGTCCTCTGACGATTTGTAATTTTGCATTTCAACGAACGCTTCCGGTTGGTTCTCCTCTCAGGCAGGGAACATCGATGCATCGCGATATCTCGAGATATCGATTCTCGTGCATAATCGAATTTACACTAGAGTCCGTGAGTCCGTGCCAAAAACCTGCTTTTTCCATGACCAAAACCCTCAGAAGGACACATTTCTTAAAAAAGAAGTCAAATGAAACTTATTATTTCGTCTCTCATCTCCAACATAAGACATGCAACACCTGCCAAGAAATTTTCACTAGGAAGAAACCGCTAGCAGTTCTGAGACATATATCACGATTAGCGTGAAACGATGTTTCTTTATGAGCAAATTTCTCAAAATTATCCATTGTCACTTGGAAAATACCCTCCTAGTTTTTTGTTGGCCAAAGATCTCTGGTCGTTGTCGTTGTTGTTTGCGTTCCAGTGGCGTTCTATATCAAAAGATGCAATCACTTGAAAAGAGGTTAGTTTCACATAATGCACTAAAAACGTCTCTCTTTCATGTTCATTTTCTCAGTATTTCTCATTGCAAGCAAAAAAAAAGTTCATTTACGATCTAGCGACTGACACTCCATCTTTCATTTGATACCACTCTCATTTTCCCACATGCTGTCAGATCTGAGATGAAAGATGTCCCCCCAAAACTCATTTTTGAACACAATACTCGTTCTCTTCACATAGAGTTTTGTATGTTAGTGAGTGGTGTGTAAAGAACGAGTAAAAACTGTGGAATATCAAAAGTATTTGATATCAATGGAAGACTCGTTCTTTACAATATGTGGTTCACCAGAAACAAATGAGAGATGAGTTTGTGCGTTTTGAAATGAAGTGAAGTAGAAATCTGCAAATCATAAATTCTCTTTTGCCCTCCAAAAAGGTTTTAAAATAATTTGACATTCAAGCATCGTGATTGGTTTCCGCCTTTGGCGGAAAGTCCCTAGTCTCGTTCAAGGTGGTGAACAAAAGAATTTAACTCATTATTGTCTCAATAGATGGCGCCATCGTCACACCTCCTTATGACCATTAACCTCAAATTTCCTTATATGTTGACATAACTTAGTCACTTTAACACCAAATGGTTATACATGTTTAATTTTAACTTTGATTTACTTATAAACATACCTTATGGGTAAATATTATGAAATTACAATCACTTTAAAACACCCATTACTCCAAACTGTAAAACCTTCTATATCTCTTTTTTTAGATAAATAATAAGAAAAAACCTCTTTGAGAACTTTTTAATTGCACTTTAAGCTTTAAATTCATCACCAAAAAGTGTTGCTTTATCTTCATTTTCACTGAGAAATGTGCAACAGAAGCTGCTTGTAACACAATTTTCTACACTCATCAATTCTGCCATTCAAACTCGATTTTCTCAAAATTTTACATAGAAACTGAAAAAAAACCTCATAGTATTGTTGTTAGCAATAACAAAATGTATCAAATCATGTGAATATGGGGGCTATATGTGTAATAGATTTCGAGATGAACCACATCACCACATTTCTGTGTTGAGCACAATACTTGTTCTCTTTAGGTCATAGTTTTTTTTTTGGTTTTTGTAAAGAACGAGTAAAAATGTGGAAAGCGAAGACTCCTGAAATTCGCTCGTACTTTCAGGGATTTCCCAAATTGTTATTGACAGTGTAAAACGGGGTTATTTGGGACAAGAGGGTCACATGAAAGCTTTGACGTATACTGTTTTCCTATCAGTCACTCCTAAATTTGTGGGCTGAGCAGATAAGGCCAAGATTACCTCACCAACAACTTTTTGCAGCAGGCTGTATCTCTTCGCTGTCACTACACTGGTAATCCGGGAATATGCGATGTCATGTGGCTGTTTTCAAGTGTGTTGCTATAAGTCACACGGCTGGTTTCAAAGTGAAAGCTATTCAACGTAGAGTGTGACTTTTCAAGCGGAGCCCAAAGAAGGAGAAACCACTCATTTAAAAGTGAATACTATTCACTTGGAAACCATTATGAAAATGAGGGGATCCGTGCCCCTTCCTGTGCCCATACGGAGAAGGATACAGATAGATCCGTATGCATTAGGTGCCCACACTGAAAAACCAAACGTGGTCCAGACCACACCAACTGATGCAGTCAAATAAATGCCATTTTGACTGCATCAGTTGGTATGGTCTAGACCAGGTTTGCATGGAAAGACCACACCAAACGTGGTCTAGACCATACCAAACCACACCAAACGTGGTTAAGACCACACCAACTGATGCCGTTGCAGCTGACCACACCCAGTGGTGTGGTCTCGACCACGTTTGGTTTTTCGGTGCATTTGCGCAGGGGTATGGATCGATCTGTATCCGAACATCTTACCTCTTTGTTTGTCTCGTCATCAGCATAGAGCCAGTTGTGGTAGAAAGGAACCGCGCAGATACCGTACATTGCCGCCATTGACAGTTGCTCCTAGAAAGGAAGTCTCCATCATTGCAGGTCATTAACAATTTTAAGTATTCAAATTCCATAGCAATATTGTGCAAAAACGGACTAGGAAATATGCAATAGCACTGTGAAAATTTGAGTCGTCACTTGATGACAATTTCAAGGCTAATTTTGTCATCAAGTCAATTGATGACATTGTTGTCACGCCCATGCACTAAGTATAGGAGCTTTGATGAAAATGTCGTCAATCTGTGACCAGATTGTCATCATTTCAAAGTGATGAAAATGTCACCCACGTTATTTTGTCACAAAGTGACAACAAATTTTCACAGTGAGGGCGTACGGTGTGTGCACACCTGCAAGAGCTGCCAGGAGTGCACCTCGTCGGGGTCGCGGCAGCCGGCCGCTCTGAGCGTGGCCTGCAGCTCGCCGTGGTACTCGCGCAGCAGCGAGTCCCAGTGCGCGTCGCGCAGGGCCTTGTCGCCGCTCAGCAACAAGAGGGTCATCAAGTCCATGGCGGGGTTGCCGGGGAGCACGAGCTGGAAGTCGATGAGTGTCGCGGCGATGACGTCACCAGACACCTGTAGGACACGCCGGAGGACGTTGGTGTTGTACATATACGCAGCAAGGGGGCTCGACACTGAAAATTTGTTGTCACTTTATGACAAAACCGTGGGCGATATTTTTATCACTTTCAAATGATGACGGTCTCATCACAAATTGATGACATTTTCATCAAAGCCTTTTCATCAAAGCACTTATTGCATGGACGTGACAACAATGTCATCAATTCTTTTGATGACACTCTTGTATGGAGACTTGAAATTGTCATCAAGTGACGAGTCAAATTTTCAGTGGAGTGGGCCAAAAGAACGGTCATCATCAGCGCTGTTAGGCCTCAGCAGACCTCTAGCGTTGGAGGCGGTCAAAATCCCAGGCGGGGTTTGAGCTCCATGATCAAGAAACGGGACTCCAGACCGAAGGTGTGGATTGCTCTCTGAATGAGGAATCCATTCCATGAGGACTAAGGGGCTATCAAAACGCGTCTGTAGGGTGTTGGGCGCCTTTGCCGGTCTTCTGGCTCACTGCGTCCAACACTCTCAAAATTTTACTAAATATTTGGGGCTACAAAGAAAAGTAGCTTGTCGTATAAAAAGTATATTAAGCATGCGTAAGCTTACAGACAAAATACTACGTAATTTACGATCTATTTCTTCGCAAGGTTTACTACTAAAAAGTTCGTGCAGATTTATAAAGCACTTCGAAAAGTTTTAAGAGTGCAGCGACTGAAGTGTCACTGGAGTAGTAGGCTTTCCGAAGGACATATTACCTTGTCGTATTGGAACATGACGTTGTTGGTGTGGAAATCCCCGTGCACGAACGTGTACCCCTTGCCGAAACCCGGGCACGTCACAGAGACGTTATCCTCGGCGAACGCATCGAACAGTCTCTTGAGACTGGAGTACACCGCGGAGCCTTCGGGGTACGTGTTCTTGAGTATGTCTGCACACATGAACATAGTGTAAACCAACACATGGCCAAACAATGAGGTTGATTTCACGTTAGGGTAACTCTAAACTGAACGCTAACTTAAAGTTTGCCTTTTATAAATAAAGGCATTTCCGTTTCGTTTTAGGTTCACACAAGAAGCGAGGCGAGGCCACGGTTTACCCTGCATTTTGATGTCATCGGAATGCCGATTAGACATCTGTAGTGAAAATAGCAGCCCGATAAAGCATTTTTTTTTGTCCAAAAATGGTTATTGCGACTTTGGAGGTTGAATAAACTTTCGATGATAACCTCATACAACGGTGTAAAGTTTCTTTTTTCGTGTTTTTATTAATAAATGAAAAAAGAGTTAAAAGAGTATATTTGGGAGAAATCAATTTAAGGCCTCTTTGAAAAGTGTGATGCGATCCCGTGCCGTTTAACTTACAAAATGCCACAAAATGCCCTTTAAAATCGTGCAAATATTGAACTCACTGCGCACCTGGTGTCACTCTAATGGCCTGGAAGAAAGGCCTGAGTTTGGCTTCACCGTCCGCCGTGCCCCACAAGTGCCTCAGCGGGCGCCGCAATTCGTTGTATTTCTCCGGCCTGTGATGATTGAAACAAAGAGAACGTGGTGTCAGTGCGGGGTTCTTAAGAACCGAGCAGCGGGAGGGCGGGGAAAAATCGGACACCCCAATTTTAGACTGGATTGCCTTGATTTTAGACTTTACTAACACCTGTACGCGCTTGTGTACACTGTGGCAAAAAGGTACGAAAAATTCTGTAAATAGCTTGTCGCAATCCTCCGTAGCCCCCTTGTCAATATTCTCCACTAGGCCCTTACAGTATTCTCTATAGGACCGTACAGTCTTCTCCGTGGGACCTTACACTCTTCTCCGTAGGACTATACAGTCTTCCATGTCCTATGGAGAAGACTGTGCGGTCCTACGGAGAATACTGTAAGCATATTGTGCGACTCAAGGGAATCTCCGCTTGCAACCACCGGATTTCCGGCTTACAAACTATTTGAATTGAACAAATTATTAGCAGCTTCCACACATAAGACGTCAGCCTGAAAAACCGACGTGAGAGGCTTAGTCATTGAAAAACATCACACAAATCGATCTCTGCGCCTTTCACTTATCATAATCCCAGGGCAGGCACGCACAAACTCTGCAGTGCAGAGTGATGGCGCAGTAAAGGTCTGAGAGTGTATCAGTTCCCGCACACAGATTAGAAATCACAAATACAAATAGTGCAAGCCAGCACGTAACGGCCACGAACTTTCTCGAGCGTCCAGCTCTGAAAATCTTTGGTAACGTTTTGAAATGTAATCAGTAAATAAATCAAATCAATGGCGTCTGGTATCAAAATGCTATTTTAGCACGTTACCACTGTGCACTGTCCCACACACTGTGAAAGTTTGAGTCATCACTCGATGACAATTTCAAGGCTAATTTTCCTTCCAAGGATGTCATCAAAACAATTGATGACGTTGTTGCCAAGCCCATGCAATAAGTATGGGAGCAAGAAAAAAAATCATTAATTTGTGATGAGATTGCAATCATTGGAAGGTGATGAAAATACCATCCACGTTTTAGTCATAAAGTGACAACAAATTTTCACAGTGCAATTGCATATTTCTGCTTGTGACGCGACGCTCGGCCCGTCCGAGGGGTTTCGTCGTGATTGCCGTACCTGAGGTGCTTGAGGGCGAGCCCTGCTCCGTGGTAGCGAGCCAGCTGCCGCAGCGCCAGGCGGCAGTGCGCGGCGTCGAGGCGATGGCTGCGGTCCGCATTCACAAAGCCCTGGAGGCCCAGATCCTCCAGCGATATGGACCGGGGCAGGCCGTCGAGCGAAACAAGATAGCACCTGCACATGGCGCCAAACAACACTCTAAATGTTCATGTAAGTGCCCATGACTGTGGCCATTCTTGAGCATAGACATGGCTAGGTACATATTAATAAATAAATTCAGAACGATATTTCCATATTGTGCTGAAGTACTAAAATTGTAGCCGATTCATGTACGTATGACAATAGTTACGAATAATGAGGATGCATGCATGACTGGTGCAATTAGTAACATATCCATAAATACTCAAGCATAAATAAATAGCTTCTATACATATTTAGGTTCAAGTATGGCAATAGCTATGGACAATGAAATTCTTAAGAGCAGTGTGCACTGTTCGAAAATTTCCGGGAACAATCGATTCGGAGAAGTGAGTCACTGATGATTCCACAAATGTTTCACGCCGACCACACCCATCGAGCTTAGAAGAATTCAGCAAAATTTAAAACGACTTAAGAATATAAAGAAAGTTTAGTAGCTTGTAAGGTGACCTGACGAATGTCTTGAAACCACTGCAAAAATTGCGATCTTGAGGGTATGTTGAGAGTCAGTTTACTAACCTGGGCCATGGTAGTGGCTCTGTCATATTGGCAACATCCTGTAGGGCGGGCAAGATTGACTGGTAAGCAAGCCCCTCGAAGACGAAGCTCAGTGTCACAAGTCCCTCCTCCTGGGTGTCACTGGTCGTCTTCGTGATAATATTGATGGGCGCCTTCCCGGAGGGACCCTGAAGTCCAGTGGTAAATCCGTTTCATTCCATACCTGCACAACGTTTTAGATGATGCAATAGGAAAACGCGTTTAATAACTCACATCATCTGAAATTGTCGTCCTAAACACGCTGCTGGTGAAACCATCTCGGTCACCAGAAGCTGCTTTGATTTCGAACCTGTTGATAGGACAAATGAAGTGTTTTCGCATTAAATATATACGAATGGCTCGGGCTTAAGATGAATGCTCAAGCAAGGAATGCAAATTACCATCGCACTAAATTGCCATAGAAACTTTAGTGCATAAGGGAGAGTGGGGTAATTCCGGACACTTCGATTTTCACTGGGTTTGAGTGAAGATATAGCTCAAAAGCCCGCCTAACTGAGAGAGATAGTCAGTTAAAAATGATAATTCCAAATCGGCAAGGTAGGAGGTAGGAGGTTAAGCTGTTTGGCTCTAGCTGGAGCATACCTGCAAGCACGCTCTCGCTAGCGCATGCCTGCCAAGCATGCACTAACTAGTGCATACACATGCCACACGCTTCCTGATTAAGACCACAGTGCAAAAAATCAGTGTCTGATACGGAGCATGCTACGGTGTTCCGTATACCCCCTGAAATGGTGGCAGGGACATCTGCCGTACCACTCTTCCCATAAGAGCCTGTGCTTTGTAAAGCGTGGTACGGAAATTTAACGGAAAGTGTACCGCTAATTTTACACCGGAGGTTGCCGTTTCGGTTAGGTTAACCTAGAAGCAAGGTAACCAATGGACAAATTTGTGAACAGCTCTAGATAACTATACTTCAGAGCCATGGACAATGATATGTACATTCCGTAACCTTTAAAAACATTTCTACTCTAGTTGAAGTATTCTCCCTGGAATTTGGCCCTGGTGGGTTTTGAATCCAACTATGAACAAAACAGTGCGAAAGTATCCACAATAAAAGTCTTGAGCCTGTTACGGAAACACCTGAATGGATTCTGACTCAGTGAAAAAGTAAATGAACATGGATCTTAGGTGTGCATTGTTACACAACATGGCCCAATGGGCACTCACGCCGCTGCGCTGTCACTGACCGAGGCTTCTTCAAACCCTGGGCCGTGGCGATGGCAACAAGCACTTGACGGAACGCTCTCTCTTCGGCCATGGCTGCGACTCCACTGACACGGCGAGAGCGCTCTGGGCGCGTGAAGGTCGCTCAGAGTGGGGGGCCGCGGGCTCTCTTCCTCACTCTCTCTCTTCCTCTCTTTCCCTCCCCCTTCCTTCCGCCCTCCTCCTGCAACCGGCTCGAACTGGTTTAGCGGCAAGACTCCACAGTAAAAGATCTTACGCGGAGGGCGGTACGCGTTATCTCGTGCGAAAGATGAAGCGATATGGAATTGTTTAGATTTCACATGCACCTTGGCTTTGCAAATTGAATGTAGCAGACAATTAATTACCAACTGAAACCGATTTTACGCTTCACAAAACCTGGTGACAAAACTATAACCAGTTACGTAATGACATAACCGGGCTGCAGTTTGGTCTTGAGATTTGGAAATGCACGGAAATTGTTTCCCAGTGGTAACAAAAATAGTGCTGGGACATTAAGTAGGTGAAGGGCCTGCGTGACAAAATCCTGTTACGGTGGCACGCGAGTCGGAATGGGGTCGGGTTCGAGACGTGGGTGAACGGGGTGCATTGGTCATCGGGAAAGTTGTTGAGTGAAGAAATTCCGGGCACTTCAAACAGATATAAAGGTGGTACTGAACCACCATTCCCTTCCTCAGAAAGGCTCCCCGTAGCGAAACCTCCGGCTTTCGAATCAACCTTTCGACTCAGGAGTCGACGGGTCTGTGTGTGTGAAGACTACTTCGCTGGATCCACTACGATCCCTCGAACAAATGCACCGGAAGTCGGGTCGCGTCGGCCAATCGGAAGCCTCCTTTCATCGGTGGTAACGCCTACCCTTGATGAAAGGAGGCTTCCGATTGGCCGACGTGACCCGACTTCCGGTGCTTTTGTTTACTCGAGGGAATCGAAGTGGATCCAGCGAAATAGTCTATTCTGTTGTGTCTTTCAGCAGCGTTGGTATGTCGCCGGAGAAGAGGTCTCAGTCCAGCCCAACCGGCGGGCCTAGCGGGGCTGCAAAGCGCTCCAAGCAAGGCGACCCGTCACAGCTTGACGAACCGTCTCCACAGAACAGGTAATTTGTGGGCACACGCATCAACTGCCTATGGACAACGTCAGGGAACACCCGGAAACCGTGCAGTGACGAATAAGGTGACGGAATAGTAATCAGCGCGGTTAAAATTTGTGACAAGCAGGTGACCAATTTAGGACTAAATTTGACATTGCGGAAAACTGTTTCTGGATTGTTCAATACACTGAGAATCTAAACGCTATGAATATAGCGTCAATTGGTGCAATTCAAAAGCATTGCACGTGATGTGCAATGCCTTCCCATGAATTAGCATAGGGCATTTTCGGGACGCATTGGACGTATGGTGCAATAAGGCTGGAGGCATTGCACGTATGGTGCAATAGGGTACTTTCGTAGATCCCTGAGCCGGAAGCACACAGACGCCATGTTGGCGGAAGTAGATCCAAACTTGACATGGGAAAGAGACGTTCGTCAAACGTATCGGCCACACTTGAACATAAACAGTTGTTTGATACTTGTTTGCAGTGCATATGTGTTTCGCGAGCAATATTTGTACAGCTCGGCTATAGTTTTGGATCCGAAGAGAGGTTAGTTTCCGGCCAATTTGGCGTCTGCTGGTCTGCTTGCTTCCGGTTCAGGATTCTACGAAAGTACCCTATAACTCAGTGCATTGCTATACTCACAGCGTTTGGAATCTCTACAGAACATTCTAGTCGTCGCCCTTCATCTGCTTCAGATACTGTTTGACAAAGGAACTAAAGATATTAGTCATCATTTCTCTCTGATACCGGGATCTCTACTTACTACCTTCCTTTTCGGCTCTGTTTTGTTCTTCCCTTTATTCTGGGATCGGCGACGACTAGGATGCTCTGTTGTCCGAGACACAGATATTCAGTGCTGCCATGTTACGCGCTCGCTTCCGCTTCATGTTACGCCACGTTCCGTTCATGAAGGCACAGTCAACCGGAAGTTCTGAGATCAAGAATAAGCGTTGGCATACCCCTTCGAGCTGATGTTGATTTACTAGGTAAAGTTAACACTTAAGGCTGAGCCCAAGTTCCCACTTTTGAGAAGTTTAAAGTGAAGAGTTTTATATTGATCAACTATTCTTATATGATGTTTTGAAAGAAAAGGCCGTATAACCTTTGTAACAACACACACAGTCGAGAAATAAGTTGAAGTGGAAGTTACAATTCACAGTTCCCAAGAATTATTTTGAGATATAGATCTTTGGCCTTACAATGTAACATCCCTATCGCCAAACCCACATGATAGGAACACGGCAACCGTCTTGTTGATCTGAAAATAATAACAATAACTTGCTCAGAGGATGAGATAAAAGTAAGCCGAGATACCCATGTCTATTTCAGAATGTAATTTGAGTGTATGTTTTTGAGATTCATGTAGAGAAACAATTATTTTTGAAAATTGAGTTTAAACTTGAAACTTTGGAACACCCGGAGCTGTCTGCTACATCAGATGGATGGACATGGGAGTGTTAACAAAGGTAACGTCCAGTACTGCCAACTGGTATTGTCTGCTTGTACCCGATGTTTGAGTTTAAATATTGTAAATAATTTCGATTTTGACCAATCAAATTATTTTCACGGAGACTTAGGCCGTAAACGCATCTGTAAAGACGATTTTGTAATAATTACGGCGTGTTACAGGCACACTGTTTTTAGGTTTGTATTGTTGGCTACAGTGTCAGAAGAAGGTTGCGGCGACGGCTAGGGGCAGAGCCCCCTGCCAAATTCGCATTCGAAGGCGCCAGAGCGCGACACCGTCGGCTGTGACGTCACCATGGGACCTGTAGACTTGAAAGCGTCAAAAACCTCAAAGAGCCTAAAACTGGGTTAAGTGAAAGGCATTTTCACAATACCGGTGACTTAGATATTTGTACTGGAGAGTGGTTTCAAAGTGACACAGCAAAATAAGAAAGTGAAAATTGTGTTGGGGTTAGTCGCCACGGACCTCCAGAGTAGTTCCAATAGCGCCCACCACGAGCAGATAGAGCGCGCTGAGCTTTGCCTTCGAATGCGAATGGCTTCGCTAGTTAAAGTTAAAGTACACGTTAAAGATTAGTTGGGCTCAGCCAAAAAGACGTAATGTTAAATAATTTAAGCGAATCCCGGAAAGCAGTGTCGTGCTATATTCGGGGTCGGATAATATATTTTGTCAAACTAGCTTTTTTTTTAACATGTTTATTGGCCATAGGTAGTTTTAATAAATAACAATTTGCATTAGAATATTTAACAATAACAATAACAATGGTCAATAATAATAGTTGAAGTGAAGTGCGCAGAAAATTGATGACCATTATTTACAGTTAGAACATTGGGCTCCCAAGCTGGAGAGCTCTGAAACGATTGTGACGTCATCTTCGCTCGAATGTGAATTGTGTCACGTTCGTTTGTTTGAATGTTGATACATGCTGTCGTGACTTTCTTACGTTCATGCTTGGAACGATTTGCAGTCTGTCATCGGTGTCGGAGATTTCGGTCAAACAGGAAGTAGCAACGAGTCCGGAAGCCACCATGAGTGCGTGCCGCTGTACCACGTGAGTGCAACTGTGCCAATTTTTCGCTCCTCCTTCCCGATCAGAGCCTGAATTTTCGCTTCTGTGCCGTACGGACGAGCAAATGAATTTCTCTATTGGGGCATTCCAGACCCAATTAGCAGGCGGCGTAGGTGACCATCACCGATTTCGTTCCTTTTGTGCTCAAATGTTACCTACCACTAGGGTAAGATGCCCCTAAATTTTTAAGGTCGAAACATGAATACTTTCGGAGATATCGCAATTTGAAATTTTCTCTAAAATTTCTTTTAGTGATTTTGTACAAAGTGTCAACTTTTGCGCGAATCCATCCTGCTTCTAAAATTTTCGACCCAGAAGGCTGAGATCATCATTCTTAAGGTAAAAATGAACAAGGAATCCGAATCCGCCGCCAAAAGTTACCTACGACCGAGTTTAGTGGTCGAAAATTGACTTCAAACGTAAAATTTCGTTTTTTTTTGGGTTATTTTCAAAGCAAAAATGTAAAGGCAAGCGGGTCTAAACTTAAACTTCCGAGTAGTGGAAAATGTTCCTTAAGACTCCCTCTAAACAACTGCGGCTCGAAAAAGGTGGTTATAGGTCTGGATCAGACGCCACAGCGCGACAAAGCAAGCAAATTTTAGTGAATTTCGTCGATTTTCATCAATTGTGTGCGGCGCAGCCGCGCTGCACGCGCTGCGGGCGCCGTGCGCGCCGTGCGGTAGGCAACCCCTCTTACACTTCTGCTGCTTCGTGGCCTATCTTCTCCGTGCCAGGATCTTCTAGGCCTTCCTTGCGCCTGGACCCTGCTCTCCCCCCCCCCCCCCGGCCCTTTTCCCGCTCTGCCCCTTCCTCCCCCGCCCTTTTCCTCTCAGCTTACTCCTCCCCCACCCTCTTCCTCCCTGCTCACCCCTCGACCTTTTCCCAATACCTGACAGCCTCTGTGCCCTTGATGTCATTTTACCAGTCTGATGTTCTACTAGGGGAGGATCAACAGGGTTGGTTGAAGACTTAAAAACAGTTTTGCAATTTATTTTTTATTTTTAACATATGACAATTTGTCACATTTTGAACCATTTTTAAACCCATATCAGGTATTCAAAGTTACAAATTAAATTTTCTAAATGGTACATTTTTTTCGACGAGCAAGTTTTCTTATTACTGAAACATGTTGGGTTGCCAGTTGAAACTTGGAGTTAGTTAAGTCTACTAAATCAATATTACAAATTATGTCATGAACAGGGGCTATGTAGCTTAAGATGTTTTCAGAAAATGAGAAAACGGTTGCTGGTAAGGCTGCAGCCAAGGAAGGCCTAGAAGATCCTGGCACGGAGAAGATAGGCTACGAAGCAGCAGAAGTGTAAGAGGGGTTGCCTACCGCACGGCGCGCACGGCGCCCGCAGCGCGTGCAGCGCGGCTGCGCCGCACACAATTGATGAAAATCGACGAAATTCACTAAAATTT